TAAGTCCGTTCAACTACACATGCATTCATTTATACAAATTTCCAAATTTCTTAGTATTCAGTTATATAGTTGAATTTAGAGTACTCGATTGCAGCCCTACATGTCCACAGCTTTTGGTTCTGTCTCATCTTTCTCATCACGTTAATATCTGGGTCACTGCTTTCAAAAGAAAAGCTCTTGCAATTTTCCAGTTCTTAATAACTAAAAGACTAACTTAGCAAATACCTGGTAAATGTAGTGGAACATTAAACAGCTAAAAAAACATTTTGTCTCCAAACAATAACAGCACTAAAGACAGCCTGAGTGCTGAACTTGATTTTAAGTTGTCAATAACATGTTAAAAGCTTGTTCCCCACACCCCCAGAAATTATTGGATGACCTTTCTTGAACATTATTAGGAATCTTGAGGCCTTCTAACTGTTTTCTTGGCTGTACTTTGGACTATATTATGCTTCTAAACAGCTTCTTTAAATGTGCTTAAACCAGCCCTCCCACAAAGTAGATGTTTTAAGTCCAAATAAGTCACTTTCTGCAACCTGAGTGTTAACTGTGTGTTCTACGAGTTAACAGCTGGAACCTGAGGGCACTGAAAAGAGAGAAACCACGCCGATGAGTGGTGAATGGCTTGATGAGAAACATTTCCAGCTTTTCTGTTGCATTTCCGTTTTGATTCATGCCCAAGTAAAGTGAAAAACACACATTAAATAAATGTCATCTTTCAGTATCTGAGCTAAGCTGGGTTCAGACATGCTACAGTCCTGGCAAGCACGTCTTGATAGCTCGCTTCTCACGTCACTGTTACCACTAAAGCCAATTATTGAATTTGCCAAAAATATGCTGAGAGAGGAGGTTTGAGGAGCTGTGAATGTATAATGAAGATGATGCATGAATAAATAAATAACCATCATAAGGTTTTATGATCAATATAATGCAGCTGTAGTTTGGTCAAACAAGCCTGCTGTCTAATGTGAGTGCAAGGTGAGGGAATAGCAGCCCTCAGCAGATGCTTCAAAGCCCTACCCAGCCGGGCTTAATACACACATACACATTGTGAGTGTAGATCAGCCCTCAGTCACAGCCCTGTGCTTCAGGGAGACCGGAGTGATGGAAGCAATAGTTAAGCCATTAAGGCAAACAATTGGCTCAAATTGAGAGGGAGGGAGAGAGAAAAGAAGAGCAAGAAGAGGGAAAGAGGGAGGGAGATGGAGAGTCTATGGCAGGAGTGGATCCACTCAACGACTTAATCCGAGCCCCAGGACACTCTCCTGCTAAGCTTCACACACTTTCACAAACATCTACACACACACACTATAAAGCTCTGCCTGCCTCCAATAACACCTTGTCAGTCTTGGCCACAGGGGCAATGGAAGAGTCGCTCATTCCTTTATAGTTAGCAGAGGCACCTACTTCCAACCACCTCAGGGAAAGACGGAGCGTGCAATCTACACAAGACAGCTCTGTGAGCATTCGTACACCTTATGGCCTTCTGGTGTGAAGCTATTCATTGTCTTAGCAGGCAGAGTGAATGGTGGAAGAAGCACAGGGTGGACAGTGTCCTGGACGAGGGAGGCGATCCTCTGACACCGGCTATTGTATCGTCTCCCCCCTTGGCCTTGCTCAGTCCCCACAAGCCTCACATAAACAGCCAACAATGAGGGATTGTCTCCAGCCTATTCCCCCTCTTTCTGCTCTTTAGCTTTCACACACACATCAGCTTTGTGTGTGTGTGTCAGAGGGCGAAGGCATGATGTGCTGCAGTCTGAACCCAGCGACCGCCGCAGCTTGTCCGATGCAGTCGTCTTCGCCGTTTATGTGGCTAAATATCAGCCAGTGATAGGGCCAGTCAGCTACTTGCTACCACCGCCGCCCTTCCCTCCCTTCCCTCCCTTCTTCCCTCTCTCCCCCCCTGCCGTCAGCTACCACCCTTGGGGCTCGTGCAGTACCCAGGCCCGAGCGATTTATCGGACAGCTTAGCGAGGAGCGGTTATTGCCCAGAGGACTGTTAGCACGGGCTTGGCTCGTTGACTCCTTCTCCATTTCTGGCGTTTTATTTGACATGTCCTTTAAGTCCTTTAAAGAATTGGGCGTTTCTGCCGAGCGCCTTGGCTCTTTCTGCAAAAGATGGATGGCCCGCGTTCAAAGGTCTGGATGTTTTCTTTCCTCTCCCTCAATCTCTCTCTTTCCCCCTCCCTCCTTCCTTCAACTCTTTCTCCTTTCGCTCTCGCTGAGCTTTATAGGGTGGTATTAGCGTTGTCAGCTAACCAAGCTCAGGATTTGGCTTTGTTTTGTTTTTGCCTCTTAAGATAATGCTTTTTCACTCTCCTGCTGAGAACAACAAAAGGAAGAGAAGAGCAATAAAACAGCACAGCCATTGACTTTGGTTTCATTAAACTGGTTTTCAGCCGTCTTCAATAGACCACAGGCCTTGATGGCGCTTGCGTGTGTGTAAGAGGTTGTTTGCAGCCACGTGTGTGATTATCGTCAAAACACAGCCACACTTAGGCTTGTGCATACTCAGGTGCTGCTCTCATCTCTGTCATGGCCTTACTGCTGAAAGGTGCTGAAAGTTATTCACCTTCATTGGTGCATAATTAAATAAATAAATAACAGAGAGAGGAGCCATGAGTGTGTTTTGTGATGATAAGTGTTGTTGCTCTGCAGTGAAAGGGCGGGAAAGCACTTCAACTCCTTTTCGTATGCATTCCAGATGTGGAGATATAAGCAGACCGATCGGTGTGTAAGCATCTGTGTCCTGTTAGAGGCGGCCTGGAGGTTTACTGTACTGGCTCTGCAGCCTAATCCCTCACACAAAACCTCGCATTACCACGCCGCACGCTGTTTACCCCGCATCCAGCGAGGCGTGCGAGCACGCACAAACATTCACACATGCATCACGGCGCACATATATTCGCACAGAGTGTCTCCTCTGTCGGCTACAGCTCGGTCTTGTGTCGGCAAGTGCAGTGAAAAAAAAGACGTACTTTGTATGCTGCTTTTGCTGTTGCGCTGTAAAATAAAATCTGAGTTCACCTCAGTCCTTCGGTGTGGATTTACTGACATCCCGTATAGATCCATCGCTACATCTCCGCTATCAAAAATCCACACTTAGCATCACAGTGAAATGTCAGTTTGCTGATGTGTCAGGTCAGTGTATATAAAAATTGCCGGCTTCGGGGATATCAGGCTGTAAAACCTGAATTGAAAGCTGTCTCGCCCCACTGTAAGGAGCTGCGAAGGCACCCAAGAGAATTTTATTAGTGTGGCTCTCATTGAGTTTCAGTGTCCTTGTGACGTTTCTAAAGGCTGTTTTAGAGCCTTTTCCATAGTGTTATGAATGAAAACCTGGGAGGGCATTTTTTGAAGTTAAATTAATTTTTTGCACAATATTGGTTCCAAGGTTCTAATTTAAGATATTTTATTATTTCCTCCTTTTTCATGTGTGTGTCTGCTGAAAGCTCAGTATCTTCTCTTATAGTGGCGTTGAAATGCTTCAGAATTCATGATATTCTACTTTTACAGATGTTTAAGCTTTCAAATCACTTTAACCTACTAGGATCTTGGCCATTTTATTCTATGTCTACTCTATCAGATACTGCAGTATGCAAAAACCAATATATATGTGTGGAATGACTAGTTAAAAAAAACACAAGGTTACAATACACTGGGCTGACTGAGAAAATCAGTTGTGAAGCTGAAAATCAAGGCAACAAAGACTGCTTTTTATACTGCTGCGTAAATTTTAGTTTCTGCTGAATTTTGGGGAGCAAATTTGAAACGTGTAATTGTGCTGTGTGCAGAAACGATACACTCAACCTTTAGGTTATTTATTTTAACACAAGGGAAATTTCCATGAGCAAGCCAGAGCACGGTTTGAATATTTGGTCTTTTGAAATTGAAACTGCGGGGTAACGCTGTTCTGCCAGTGAAAACCGCTTTTAAGTTTTCAAATTCAGCTTCAGGTCAAGTTTGTTTGTGTCTAAGTGTGTTTACGGGTGTGTAGTTTTAGTCCAAGATTCCTACAATAATCAAAAAGATTAGGAAAATGCTTAAAAGCATTGTAGATCCAGTTTAAATCACATAACATGAACACAGAGACCCTGATTCTTAAGCTGTCAGTGATATCGGTTTGTCTTAATGTGATGTTCTAATGTCCCGCCTTTTGTCTCTTCAACAGTAACGGCACGGCCGGAAAAATGAACGGGGCGCTGGAGCATTCGGACCAGCCAGACCCGGACGCCATCAAGATGTTTGTGGGCCAGATCCCACGCTCCTGGTCAGAGAAGGAGCTGAAGGAGCTATTCGAACCGTATGGAGCCGTCTACCAGATCAACATCCTCCGAGATCGCAGCCAGAACCCTCCACAGAGCAAAGGTACTGACCAACACGGTTACACAGTACTTAGAGGTGATGTGTTCATTCATTCATGTATGGTTGTCTGCTATAGTTTCTCTTCCTTCTTGCCTATGTTTCTCTCCTTACTTTCTCATGATGAAGAAAAAAAATTATAAAAATATCAACAAACATTTGTGCAAATACAATGACAGTAGCCTAAGTTATGATAATGAATCGAGGTACTTTGGTCCCTCTTCTTGGGGAGTCAAGTGCTCCTGTTTTGTCAAAGCTGCTGGTGTCTCAGAGATAAGCCCAAGGTGTCCTTTGGCCTTGGTGCCATGACTCAGGAGCCCTTGGCATCACATTAAAACCCACCAGAGTACAATTAAGCATCATTTTCAATGTTTTCAGTAGAGACAAATTAACAAAAAGATGTTATAATAGTGTTAGGATTATGATAGGGTTAGAATTACAATCATCAGTGATTATATCAGAGAGTTAATCTCTTAATACACACCAGATCACAAGTGACCTGCTTAGGGTTAGGGTCATCATTAATAATGACTTAGACCTCAGAGGGTTAAAACAGCACTGCTAGCTCTGGGCATCACAGACTATATGAAAGATGGGAAGACCTTCTATGTCTGAAAATTGAAGCTGCTGCTGAAGTGCCATAAATCTGCATTTTTTTTAATAGCCAGACTTGCTAATCAAGCTAACTAGCATTAACTTATAAATTAGCATGCTTCTGTATCCAATTAAGGTCATTTGTGGCTCAAACAAGATGGGAACAGCCCTCATGCTTAACTTAACATTACATTGTGTAAATTGTAGTCAAGCTGTAGTCAGCCTAAGAAGGTCAGAAACATTAAATTTATAACATATGTGAAAGGCTGTTTGTCTACTGTTCACCTCAGCTGACAATGTCAGGTGACATCTCCAGGTCTATTTACTCTGAAAGAGGCTGTAAAACTTTGGGAAAGAGTCCATTACAGATCAGTGAGTTAGAGAATCTTACTTCTGATCGATGATAATGAAACTAAGTTGAGGACTGAACCTTTCTGTCAGTAAGACTTGTTTTAGCTGCTATTAGCCTCTGTTAGCTGATTTAGCCAGCGTTAGATCTACTTTTTTTGAAGTGGATCTAACATTTTTGGACTCTTAGGAGATAAACTCTTGCAAAATATGAGCGTTAAATCAAACAGTTTATCAGAGGGAAAGCGTGATTTTTAGGATACGCAAGCTTAATATTAGCTGGCAAAATATTAGCTATTGTTAGCTGTCCGAAGATGGGAAGGTCGCAAATCTAGTCTGCTGATAATAAGTAATTAAAACAATATCAGGGATAAATAAGCAAATGTCTCTTCTCCTCCACCTTAGGTGTTTTATTTATGTGGCAGATCTCCAGCCAATCATATGGGAGATGTCGTTTCAGGCCACTGTATTCAAATGCGGTGGAGAACATGGAACACAAACCACAAAAGTGCTCCTTTGTATTTAATTAAAAATTTGGATTATTAAAATTTAATTATAAATTTATGAGAACATATCAGTTTCTTGGAAGATATAATTACACAATACAATTAGTAATTACAATTAGTAATCTATGTATATTTATGAGTATAATACCCTTTTTTTCTAAGTAAATAATACAAAAAAAAATACTGAGTACTCCTTTAAAGCAGGATTTCACAAACTTGGTTAGTCAGTAGAAATCTGTGGGCAGTCAACTATCTGCTCATTTTTTCTATGACCTCTCAAAACACATCCCTGATGAGTTGCTATTTTCAAGTCATGACTAATTTAATAAGGATAAACCAGGCTATTCTCGTGGACTGGTGGCTTGCCGATCACAAATCAATAGCCAATGAGATTGCATTTTAGCCAGATGGGACCTTTTGCTGGTCCACAAGAGTGGACACTACGACAATGCTCAGCTCAGGGCTTTACTTCAGGACTTCACATCAGATGGTCACATCCATCTTTTATAGATCTTTTATATGCCATCTATGCGTTGCATCAAGTACTGCTCCAACGCCAAAGGACAGTTTGTCCGTATCTGAAGCCAACAGCTTCTGACAAAAACGGCACTTTTTAACGCTCTGCTATGAGAATGCGTAGGATACCCATACAGAAAACACAAACACTTAACTGTATGTACACTTCTACCCACACAGAGGCACATAGTCTATCAGTGGTTGAGGACCGTCCCACCTATTTAATGGCAGAACAAGTGATGCATGTGCAACATTACACAAGCAAACACGTATTTCGTGCACCATTTGAAGACAAAGACTCGCCTTGCCAGACTTACACAGTCAATTGTTCGAAACTGCATGATTTGCAGCTATTTTCTCCCATTCCCTTTTCTTTTTCCTTTGATGAATTCATCAAGTGTGAGAGCAAACAATAGAGACAGCAGCCACAAACGGGCAGACAATAGCGTTGCCATATTAACAGCCATCAACCAGAGTGGGGGTTGATGACACTCCTGATGAGACATGGAGAGTGGGAGGAAAGTAAAGAGAGAGGCAGTGAGGACGGCAGGAAGGGAGAGGTGGCGTTTCCATCCGACTGGAAAGCAAATTTTGAAGAGAAGTTTCAAAGTGTCACTTGAAACAAGATCGGAATCAAGAGGGATGAAGTGTGAATAAAGCCAGTAAACACTTTCCTGCAAGAAAAATGAAGTCAAGGAGTTTTCATTTCTGGGCCAGCTGATGCTTGCTATAGATGTCTTGAAATGCGGTGATATATTACAAAGTAAAGCCCTGTATTACATTTAAAACCTTCTCATTTGGCTTGTCGGATGCTTTGAGAAGGAAACATATTTGACCTAATAGCAGGGAAAATAACAGTGTTATTTATACGGAAATCATAAGAATAAGATCTGACCTCTTGGTTTTGGTGTGTGGAGCTTATTATTTTCAATACTTCCCGTGCTTCATGTTGCCACAGTGACGTCACCCGTTTAAGTCTTTACTCACCAAAATTAGTTTTGCATTTTTGGAGCGATTAATGTACAGCGAGCAATATTGTTAGTGTAATAAGGCTTTCAAAAGTGTTGCAAACATGAACACATACAAGAGATCCAGTTCACTGACTATGAAATAGCTGATTTGATGCCGAGCAAACAGCTAGCAGCCATAGTCAAATCGTCCATGCGCAAAATAATGAAGATGTTAAGCCTTGATGTAATTTAAACTGTCAACTTATATAAATATTTAATTTTTTTTTTTACTGTCTGGCTCTAAAAATGTTTATTTTTTTTCTTTAAAGTCACATTTTATTATTGAAGATGATGAGGATTGACTCATTTTTACAGGCAGCTGCAAGTGCCTCTTTGTGGAACTACATGTTTGTGGTAGAAAGAAATGCAGATCAGTGCATGAACGTGTGCATTTTGTAAACATATTCAGTCGGTCGAAATTATATAAAACGTTGCACTTTATGCAAATGCACGTGGGTAGACTCACATGAGACCCATGTCCCCAAATAGTCCTGAGAGTTCCTGCTTATACGCTGCAAGGGAAATTTAGAGTGCAAATCAGTGTTGAGTAGAGATGCTCACCTCGTGTTCACTCCTGTTTTTATATGGGTGATTTTCATGTTGCAATTTTTAGAACAGATTTTTTTTTGAATAATAGTTAAGTAGGAATTAGTGATTTAAGCTCCGAAGGCTATTAACTACCAGGTAAATGTGGTAATTGTGCACTACTAATTTTCTGCATACTGAAAACTTTGTAGTGTTTGGCTGCGTAATGATCACCTGGTTAATTATTATTGAAAATCTAAATAATAAAATCTAAATTTGTCATAGGAAATTACAGTAACTGGCTGTCCAACCTGTAGTATTCTGTAAATTTTAATCAGAAATTTTAAACTTTATGACATATATTTATATATATATATGTATATATAATATAAATAATTAATTTCCTCTTTCTTGTGTTTTAATGACCTTGAGGCTGATTTCAAATTTTATTCTCTTTAACTCACATTATTCATATAATTGTATTGAAACATTTGTTCCTCCGATGAATGTAAAAAATGTGGGGCGATTAAAAGCTGACCTCCTGTTGAGTGTATACTTTTAAAAGATGTGATGTCATCCACCTTTTCTGCAGCTACACCCTCCACCTGTTTTTAGTTCTTCTCTCTCTGATTTTCCTCGTTTTTGGCTTCCTCTCATTCTGACTGAGTCATACGAGCTTATGAAAGCCTGGAGACAGCGTTCTGCCAAATCAACGCATTTCTGCACACCAACACACTTGTCATGTGCTTTGCATTTGTGTGTCCTTAGCCTTGAAATGACTCCTTTTCTCCCCACTAGCCTCTCCTCGCTCTCCTTGTTCCCTCTGATATCTCTGAGGGGTGGACGGGGGCCACAGTTCCCCCTCATGTCCTTCAGCTCCTTCACATCTCCTTCTCCATCTTCACTACCCTTGAAATGAGTTGTTTTTGCGGCTGATGAGTCAAAAGTATCGCTCAACGGGAGAAAGCAAAGCCACCTAGCATGCCTTTCATTTTTTTCTACTCAACATGACAATCTCTGTCCATATGCCTCATTTTTATTTATTTATTTTTTAACAGTCTCCTTTTTTGTGGAGTGCATTAAGAGGAAATGTAGCGTTTGATTGGGCTCTTACTGGCCTTGTTATTCGCAGGCTCTGAGCGCTGTTGTTGTTTTCTCATAGTTAAGTAAGCCGCCTGGCCTCATCTGCACCCGCTCAGCCAGAAGGACCTGCGATTGCACCCTCGCCAGTTTCCCTGTTGAAATTTCGCCAATGTCAGGAAAACTGTGGCCCCTCGCTTCCCTCAATGTGTTTATTTTAAATTAGCAATGGTGTTGTTTGTAAAGGATCTTCGCCATTTGGGGCAAATGAGCCCACTCCGGTGCCCCAGCGGTGACCCAGAGGCACTTTTTCAATTCTTTGTAAAATACCAGTTTGGATTTAAATGAGTTTGTTAGACCCACCGAGACGTAGGAGAAGTTTCGCTGCTCACCACTTTAACTCCCAACTTTTCTGCTTCCTTCTTTT